TAACCGAATTTCGTTGCAACATACCAATTAAGCACTAAACCCACTGTTGAATTTTCAGTTTTGCTTCCCTGGAATACTAGTCCCACTTAACTAAACATGCATCAATGGATCTGACCTTTTCGTTGTTAACGGATTTTGACTCCAACATAATGCCACGACAAGGTATCGAACGGGTTAATGGAGTGGGGGGGGGGGTGAAAGATAGAGAACACTTATAAGTAGATCAAAGCAATCGAGGGTGCATTACTCCAATGCTGCTTGTGATCTTGCCTGTGTTGATTGCCAACATAGCTAGTCATTAAATACTGTCAAACTTTCAAAACGCCTGCCATTTGATATAAATAAATATCGTGAATAAAGTGTACACGCAGGGAGCTTAATCATGATCAGGGTGGCGGTTTAGGTTAAACAAACAGAGGCAAATGATTGACCACTGTTTTTACGGTCGCTGCACACAGAGTTGTACGGCGAAGGATGGGGGGATTAGGTTAAACAGAGGCAAATGATTGACCACTGTTTTTACGGTCGCTGCACACAGAGTTGTACGGCCGCATCTCCCCATGATGGCGTGCGATGACGCGTTAAGAGATGACGTTCCCACAGGTGAATTCTCTTTGAAAGAATATAACTTTATCTATTATACCGCTGGAATTGCTCAAACAAATAAGATTGTCCGATATTGTTAAAGAAAATCAATATTCTGACATGATTTTAGTTGATTTAAAGTTGATATTGATATATTCATTAGGGAATGGGCCTATATTTAAAATTTATAATTTTGTATGTTTATACACATTTCTATGCAAGATTGTGATATAATACATTTATGAGCTCGGGAAGTGCTATATCTTTGCCTAAACATACCCACACCAGTTCATGCTATGACTATAACAGGTCAGAACATGACAAAATCAACCGTCAGTCAACAAATGATTCCTAATTTGACCAAACGAATTTTAGCCAAATGGAACTAAAATTTCAGTAATTATCAATATTCCGATAACTCTTCAACAGTCTATCGCTAGGTAGTCTGGCCTCCATTTAAATGTGTACATTTTTTAAGTTTGCAAATAAATGTCTTGTTTGTGGAATAAGTATAAGCATTAATGAGTAGCATTAAACAATTGGAAGATGTCAAGCTAACAGTAATTAATTTGAGCTCACGAAGGCGCTGGATTTAGCACAATATGTAAAAATTTTGGTCATTGGCCAAAGTAGCTGATAGAAATCATCTAAAACCTCATTTTAAAAATTAAATTAAATGTTTATAAATCAAATAATAGATGCCGAAGAACTCTATGGAAATGGGAAAAGGAAATTAGGTTCTTGATATTTTATTGATATAGATATGTTAGGTTTCATTAAGTGATTAATGTTTATACGTTTATACCTAGTTTTTGATAACTGTGAGATTGCTTATAAAACAAGTTAAATGTTTGCCGTTTTCAACGGAGATAGCAGTTTTGATCGTTTGTGATAAATCATTTGTGACTGTGAACCTAAATTCCACTCTACAAGGAGGCATCGTGAGGTGAGAATGTTACGGGAAAAATGATAGGTAACATCATATTTCACGAGTATTGCTTCTTGCTTGGCCGGGATGACACTGGGTGGATATTGGCCCCTGCCGATATTCTAGTGTGCACGATGCTCCTTTGGGCAACTATCTTAGCAGCATTTTACGGAATTCAATCGATATTTATCAAGTTTTGAGGCAACTTACCTAATTTCGGGTGCCACCCCACACTAGGTCATTTTGATATTAGGATGACTGAAAAGATGCATAGAACAGTTTGTGGCTTGTTTTACTGGCTTTTCTGAATTCAAACGCTTGCGAATTACTGACAGTAATTCATTGCAGTCGTACATTTTTATTGGGGTAGAAGTCACCTTCGAGGGCGACAGTTTCATGGGAAAAGGAATCGAATTTGAGCTCAATCTAAAGCGGCAGAACACGACTGAAATCATCATCGATTTACCTGATGAGAAGGTACGCTTTCCCTCCCCCCTTCTTACTACTTAAAGTCAATTTAATGTCACAACTGAAAGCTTTAGCTTCCAATATGTAAGGACCGTGGAGGAGAAGATCAATTCTCCAAGTGTCCTGACATTTCGTTCCATTTGAATCAATTACTCGGCGTTGGATGCTTTCGAAAAGAGGTTTCAATTTGTTCCATTTGTCTCGAAAGCTTTACGATCCTTCGAATGTTCAAAGGTGGTTATATAAACTGCCCCCCTAATATCAAGTATTGCATATGCATCGTACGTGATTTCAATAGATGAGCTTTTTATTGTAAACGGATTGAATTGGGTGATCTGCGAACGTAATCACTCTCTTTTGTAGAGTTAAAGCATCGATTGTTGCTCAGTTTATATTAATCGTTCCAAGGCAAGTGTTCTGCTCAATTACTCTCTAATTATCCACCATTCTCGTTGGAGTGTAGGCAATGTGCTAATGTATATGTGAATTCTCAAATTGAGTTTGTGTGGGCAGCTGTGGGCAATCGTCTGTGTGTGTGTTGTGCGTACACCTGTTTCTACGTTCTGTCTTTACTTGATACTGTGGGCGAGTGGATGTGAGCCGATGGCCTAAATGACGTATTTACCCAGCTAACTTTCTGTCAATGACATCGTGGCTGATTGAAGACGACATTTTACGCTAATCTATTTATGCCATTGTGGGGTGTGCAAAAGACTTACCTCCACGTGGTGCACCCTGGGCAACGTATACTCATACGGCAAAAAAGTCTATTTACTGGCAGATGACTTCTGACTTCAAACTACCATGGCCCGACTGCTTGCCATATTCGACCCCTTTCACAGTACACATCTTACCTCTTTCTCTACCTTTGTGTCTGTCTGCCTCTTTTACATATGTGAATCGCTCTTCTGTACCCCACCCCTCGACTCTCTTCTACTTTGATGGACCTTCCCTCTGTGAAGACTGAAGTCAGGTAAATGGCTAATGATAGCTATCAAAACGCCTGCCATTTGAAATAAAAATAAAATTTATGCCATTGTTGGCGAGGGGCAACATAGCACTGAGCAGAACACATCACGTGACCTCGTGCAAGGGCTCAGCACGGCTATAACCGTGACACAGACTAAGGACATCATATCTTAGTCATATATTACAAATAGTGCATATGAATTCATCAAAGCACAATTTCAATTTTTTTCCAGGTTACGTGAAAGTCACGGAATAAGTACTCACGTCCAATTACTTGCAAGATTTTGTGCTGTTTCCAAAATTTGAGGTTTAAATGGTTTTTAAACTTGGTTCACTAAGACCAGCATATTGTTCGGGATGTCGGTTAAGTTCGTTAAAAGTAAATAATTAGCCTTAATTTATAATCAATAATCTCTATAGAAATGTTCAAATTTTGGAATGGATCCTAGGATTAGCTCAGCTATAACATAGAACGAGAGGAAACGGAGATATGACGTGAAATGCATTTATTTGGGCTGTCAGTTACAGAGCTTTGTCATTAATATGTATTTCAAATGGCGGACTTTAGGATACTTATCAATAGCCCTTTAGCTGACTTCGGGCTTCACGGAGGGGAGGAGGAACATCAAAGTGAGAAAAAGTGGAGAGGGAGGACGGAAGAGTGATTCAAAGATGTAAAAGAGACAGACAGACACAGAGGCAGAGAAAGGGTAGGGTAAGTACGGTGGCAGTGAGCGAATAAGACATACAGTTGGGTCATGGTAGTTTGAAGTCAGAAGTCGACTACCGGTTTATAGACTTTTCGCCGTATGAGAATACGCTGCCTGAGGTGCACCGCGTGTAGGTAAGTCTATCGCACACCCCTTGTCATTAATATGCAATGAAGGGTTCGTTAAACCATACAGGGATTATTGATTGGTGGCTGGTTCACTACCACACTTGCTCCCTACGCGACAAGTAGCACGTCACCTTCGAGTCTATCTGAGTGTGCATAAGATTTCTTTGTTCAGCACTCCACAATCTAATCAGACACAGTAAGATAAAGAAGAAATGGGGCCATCAGCCTATGGTTTTTCTAATCATAATAAATTAATTTATTTGAAGAATGAGATAATTGATTGGCTAACTGGCTCGTCGATGATTGCAGATATGGATCATTTACTGGTGATCTTAAAAGGCGAATAATCAATATCCAACGTCAGTGTGCACCGAGAATAATTAACAGCTCTTTCTCGAAGAACCTTTGGCCAATTTGGGATAACCGACTATTAGACCTTTAGGGCACGGGTCGAAGATCCTAATTTCAACGACATTGAGGGGAAGACTATTCTCTATAACTAATATGTTTCAACTGGCTACAGATTTTCCAATAATTATGCAGGGACAAAACTGATTAACATATATGACTGTCGCAATTGATATATGAATCTAAGAAATTAGCTAGAAAAGCACGTTAGGAATTTGTGCCAAGTCTAATATCAAAATATAGTTATCACAAGGAAACTCGATTGAGCTTGACCCCCTTCTACTGTCAAGCTTGTTTCATTATCGTTCAAAACAGCTACAAACGACCCAGTATGATAGTAGAGCCGAGTAAAGTAGCGCTTCCCTCGAATATTGCATACTCTATTCTAAAAAATTTATAATACCCACAGCAGCTTTGAGAAGGATGTTTTCTACTACTCCCTCCTCCAAGTTACTTATTGACTTATCCAGCTTTCCACTCTTCCCCCCCCCCCCCGGTACACTGACCTACGCTCAGTTAGACCTTTCTGTTCTACTCTGACGTCTGACTGTGATTCGCCTTTGCATTCGCTTACGCTAGTGATTCCTCAACTGCCTACTGCGTGTAAACAAGGATTCTACGTTCTCACTACCTGCAGGAATATTTTGTGCCAAAACTTTTGATTTCAATCTATCACAGTAAATTTTCCTCGTTGGGGACTTCAATTCAGATTTGAACCCATTTAATCAAAAACACCAATTAAGCCATTAGTAACAGGTTGGAGTAGTCTCATGTTTAATAGTACGTTACAAGACTCAAAGAAGATCATATTCCAACAGCTACACGAGAAGCCTCCGAAAGTTGTTCTCCAGCGGATTGGTCATAAACAATCGGCAGGGCTTTGGTCTCAATACAATCGGCATAGTATGCACCTGAGGTTAAATTTGGCGTCAGAACTGTGTAGAGGGTTGTCTGTGCACCCTCCCACGGCGTTTTCATAAAAGGTCGTGATAGGAAGTTTGGAATGAACTGAAAGGAAAATAAAAAGTAATAAAATAAAAAGGCTGGGCCCTGGGCGGAAAACCCCACTATAAGCCTGTCTATTAACAGTTATAACAATTGATTTTGAATCCAGATCAATTGGGCTTTTAACTGATTGAGAGGCAGCCAATATTTGAACCATTAACCATTAAGTATCAGGAAGACTAGTGTCAACACTTTTAGATGTAATTCTAAATTTTTACCCAAAAGTAAAATAAGGAAGCGAATTTGTTACCACCGATAAGAGGGGGAGATAAGATTAGCAATACGTACCGAAAATACTCCAAGAAATCTGAATAATTCCGTTTGAACGACACCAGGATGAACACTGGCAGTTTGAATTCCAAAAGGAGCCAGCGTTTTACTCAAATAGTGCGCATACATTGCGTTTGCCAGTTTGGATCTACTGTAGCACTCAAATCGATTATAACCCTCCTTTATATCTAGCGGAACCAAGCTAGTCTAAAGTGAAAAAAAATATTTATTTTCCCTGACATTATTACCTTCGCTCGATAATGTGCCCTTGAAGAGAGAAATATAATTCTTGCACCTTCTCCTGCCTTTTTAATGGTAGGTAAGAGAAGTTCTGTTAAAAGAAACGGGCCAAGATGATTAGTTCCAATTTGACTTTCGAAACCGTCCTCAGTTTCTGCACAAGGACAGGCCATTATCCCAGCATTATTAATTAGAACATCAATCTTTATATTCTTCTCGATGATACGACCAGCGAATTCTCGAACGGATTTTAGAGAACCCAAATCCAACTTCTCGATAATGAGCTGCTCAGGTTCAATGGGAGTAAGACTTTCTTTAACTTGATTGTTAACGACGTTCATAGTCAAAGCTGTGGGTTGATCCTTTCCGTAGAGAGCCAAAATATCTGATTTAGCAGCTTCAGCTTTCTCAATATTTCGACAAGCCATTATCACAGTTGCTCCACGTCTAGCTAATTCCCCAGCCGTTTCTTTCCCAATTCCAGTATTAGCGCCAGTTACAATGACGTGTTTTCCATCCAAACGTCCTGTTTCATAGCATTTTCCCCCGGAAAAGTAATATTTGTTGGCACCAAAAAGAGCAGCACCAAAGCCGCCTACAACAGCTAACGCACTCAGCATAGATGAATTAATGCCTGCTCCACGTGTTTGTTAATAAAACATAGATGATTTAGCCAATAGCATGATTAAGGCACAAGAAGCAAAGGGATGATTGGTGGGCTGAAGGCGCGTCGTTTGCCACAGTCAATAAGGTAATGGAGCGCGACTATTGGTAGAAACATTTGTAATACTCAATTACTTCGAAAGCAAATATATTCACGTAGTTCATTTAAAAATAGAAAATAGCATATTAATTAATGTAGCACTACATTGACAGTACTTTCAACTTTTGTTGTAACTGCATGACAGTAAAATTAAAAAAATGGACATTTTAAGTGTGCCAACAACAACTAATATTTCATCAAAATTTTAGAAGATATTTTCACAACATTCATTAAAAGATAAATGTTGCTAATGCTACATTTATAACGCCTGAATAAATCACACCAAACTCTACAAATCCCCTAGAATGCAATTGCGCAGAAATTATCCAAACTACCCCAACAGAGCACACGGTAAAAACAACGTCTATTGTGGCTGTGTACCACTGTCATGAAGCTTCGCCATTAAAATATTATTTAGGGTTTGTTAAGCGACGCAATGGAAAATGACTGGTGGTTGGCGGAGAGGTTTCTGCATCTACCGCTCACTTGCTTCCTACACGACAAGTAAAGCAAACTGTTATACCTCACGTCTTAAGCTTTCATTCAATTCTATGAGGCCAGAAGAATCGCGTGAAAAGAGGGAGGCTGATATGGTGAGAAGAGCCTTACAGCATTGTTGTTAGTAGATAAAAATGGTAAAAACAGACAACCCAGGAGATTTTAGACTCAGTTGCAAAATAACCCCCAAATAAGGGATTGTGGACTTCTAGAAGTTCCATAGTAGGTCAAATAATGAATTTTGTAAATCGGTTGCTTGAGTGTAAAAGAGGTGCGGAAATATTGCAGCAATATTCGCTCTTATCTAATAAAAGACCGCGGAGAACTATCATCCAAGACAAATTGTTAAGTATTATCCCATTTCTAACAAAAGCAACTTCATGTTATGTGTACTTTTTAAAACCGCCTTTGATTTACTCATTTGACCACTTTCTAGATCTACAATTACTCAGTCACCTTGAGGAAGAGGAATGCAGATAACTCGTAGCTCGAACAGGGGTCCATTTTTTGGGAAATAAATGTACTTATAAAGTGAATTTAAATAATTTTGGCAGTAATGGTTTCTTCGTGGTGGTCTTGCATATCAAAGTCTAAGCATAAAGTGCAAAATTGGTCAGTTCCAAACTGATAATTGAAATTACAAATTCACTCACTGTACTATTAGAGTACTCAAACTGATTCAGAACGGAATGTGTGACTTTGTAGTAAGGTGTTGGTCACGAATCGTAAATTTCCGTTCGCTCTAACAAGAATATATCTTTTCTGCAAGATCAATTGTGGAGGAAATTATATATTATAATTTCAGAAGGAAATTTTTTTACCCAAGTTCCAATTACAATGCAAATACGAGTAATTGACCTATCTTACTTATCCAAATAAATTTAATAGTCAACAATCGAGAAGTTACAAATTACCCAATCATACTGTAAGCACAGCTCAACTCACAAGACTGTATTTGTAACAGTGTTTTTCAACATAGATACATTCTCGAGCTTTTGCTCTGCAACGAATAGCTAACTCTTAAGCATGGTCTCTAAAGAATGAATAATTAACGTAAATACCTATCTCATTTCGACAGACGTCTCTGACAATAACTCAGGGTTCTAACAGACCGCTCAAGATTTTCAGCCTTTACAAAGCGGAAGTATCGTTAATCACAATATCCATTTTCTCGAATACAATCACCAAATTATTGAACAAATCAAATTAAACCTACAATCCAACTTCGCGATTGTGGGTGAGGTGTTCATTCATTTTCGAATTATGTACATTAATGGTCAGAGCTCCAAGGACATAGCACAGCCCATATTTGCACAAACTATGATTACGTTTGAACCACGTCCAGCAAGTTCAGCAGTCGTCTCCTTCCCGGAAACAGGCACATCAACAAGTTTTCCAAATAGGAGATCGGATACATAGCATTCAACAATGGAAGAGAATAATTTATTAAAGAAATGGCTGGTAAAACCTATATTATCCAAAATAGCCAAAATTGGAAAATTAGTGCATCCTTTTAACAATTAACGTTAATCTGCAGTTTTCATTGTTTAAAGGCCTAACCAACAAAATGCATCCGTGGTGGCTCATGAATGAATTCAATTTAAACAAATAACCCTCATCATTATCTTCATTAAACACGATTTAATTATCTCTTTTCATTTATTTCTTTAGCGATCGAAAGTGAAATTCATTCATGAATGCCCAATTCTGATAGTTTTTCGAATTCCGGTGAAAGGTTTTCGAAAGGCATACAGGTACAAAGTATTTTACTAGAATGAAGTCAGAATAAATTTGCAAATTTGCCTCATCCGTTCAATTACTGCTTTGGATTCAAGATAACTATGTAGAAGTTAGGGGAGGCTTGAAGATACATGGCCTTGGGTTATGGGGTCGAAACAGACATTCCGTCGACTAGGTTGTTTCGATCTTCACCTAATAACAAGATAAAGGTAAACTAGATGCTGCTGAACAAAGGTAAAATAAAAATTGGGAAGGGATTTGAGGCACGTATCCGGGTAGGCAAAAGTGGTTGAGTCAATAAAAACTGGAAAATAACGTTCAGTGCTATATTGATCTGGGGTATCAATTTCGCTTGTGGTAAACAAGTACATCAAAGGTAAATAAGTGTTAGGCAGGGTTTGTAACTTCTTATTTCAACCCACTTCAAGTTTAACTCCCCAACAACCAGATTTCAAGAAATTCATCGACAAGTAAGTTCAACTGTATTTCCGTATAAATATTACATAGAGAGAAAGAGGGAGGATAGAAATAGTTTTGGGTATGATATAATTTACAGGCAGGAATTAACACATCGGACAGGTCATGGAGATCAGGAAACCAGGGTCAACGTTGATAAGCCCCTGAACATGAGCTTCTTATGTAAATTCCCAAACGTTTTGATCTTGTTTACCAGTTGCATGTTGGCGTTCCGCTGATTGGCTGCTGCTCAGTCACAATCATTGGTCCTGTTTGTGTACTAACTTGCGATCGGTGCACAAAGGGATAAAGGATAAAAGCGATCGGTTTCACTGACATTTTTGGAGACGCCCTATAGCAAATAGCAGAAAGATCGAGCTATTCTTTATTATGCGAAGAATTAGGTTACAGTTTACTTTATAGTCTCTTGTGCAAAATAGTAACTAAAATACCTCCACTGGAGGCGATTTTAAGGGTACCTAGAATGACGGATTTAATCACTAGCCCTATTATACTTTAATACATTTTAGCTCCATAGAAATACTTTTGTAAAGATCCAGGTGCGCCACTAGTGCAGAGCAGGAAGTACTCGTCGTCAGCAAGGCCCCCAGCACGGGAACCAGTAAAAAGAGAGGCTAAAGTAATGCTATACTCAACTGTAGCCTCCATTTGTTTGAGACAGAAGAGGCCACCATGTCTCACTTGTGCTTCTCATTTTTTCTCGGTTAAACCACACTCCTTATAGCTAAATCCTATCTCTTATCATATGCCTTATTGCTCATTTTCATAAGCTTCGGCCTTAACTCACTTAAGGGCCACTCAGTAATCATATCTCCCACGTGTTTCTAAACTCTTCTAATTTTATTGCTAACTCAACTTTTCGAATTGATACCTGCGTAGAATCAAGACATTAGATAATTTGATGTGAGTAGCAAGAAGTTCATGAATTTGAAAGCAATAATTTTAAGAAACTGCAGTTTAACCAGCAACTGTATACTAAGCAAGCAACTAAATCCCTTCAAAATCCATTATACCAACCTACAGGAATGAGACTGCAATGTAATCCTTTCAAGATCACTCTATGCTAATCCAATTCTTGATTAAAGCAGGCGACTCAGCCCCTATTATCAACAACATCTCCAAATCTGTCACTGACATTCTTCAGCTTCTGTGTCCAAAGCCTTCCTCTAGTTCTCATTTGCAACACTCATCTGAAGTCATCCGATGTAAGGCACACTTACAGCCACCTATTAGAAAATATTAAGAGTTGGGGAAGTCAAATTGATGAGTATCAAACCCGCTTCCTGGCAGATTCCTAGCTCCTCTCCTCTTTATCCCCAAATTAGGCCCTGTAAGACATTGTTCGCTCATCATCGGAGCGATGTAAGATTAAAACCACCAAATAAAAACAAGTTGACAATAAATTGAATAATTATTGATTTTATTTACAAGGAAGGGGGTTGAAGTTCAATAATCAGATATTCAGCAAATCATCCTAAAATGAAAAAAAGCCTATTAGTAAATATTAAGGTATGATGAATAGATTCGAAACTAATACAACCTTATATTTTGGTAGTATCCCTAAATTTCCAAAGTACATAGCTGAATAATGGTTCTTCTCCAGATTAATTAAGTCTAATTTTTAATGATTACAGAATAACTAAAGCCACATTGGTCTTGACAAGCACCGTCTAAGTAAAATGTTAATATAAAATAAAAAATCCGCGAACGGAATTCGATTGTCATTCCTCTATTTCGGTACCGGAGTAAAAGGTCTTCATTGCCATATAGTGGGTTAATCAGGCAACCAGTCAATTGGCTGCTTCCAATCCATGCATAAACTGTTCTAATTAACTAAACAAGCAAAGAGAAATTTGCGGTCCAAGATTTAGGCCTTATTTCTAGAAAATCTGATCACTTGCAGGAAATTACGGCCCGTGTATCACAATACCAACAATTTTTTGCGGACAAAAAATATCTTCAACGTGCCAAAACTCGCCAGTGAATATCCTCGATTTTCGTCTTGTGGTATGAACTCGGACCTATAAAGAGCAAAATATAACAATTACACAAAAGGACTTAACCCAAAAAATTCCCAGCATCCACTTACCAATAGTTCCAAATATTGCTCAAATTCTTTTGACTATCTGTCAACTTGACACAGTTTATAGAAATCTTTTTCAGAAGTCCAGCCATCGCTAAACAAGCCTCTTTCTCCCCATTTCGTAAAGTTTCTACAAGTTATCAAAATCGATCCAAGATTACCAACCAAATTGAATCGCAAGCGTCAAAGTAAACAAAAATCAATCGTACCCAACGAATTGCGTAATCCATCTCGCAGCGATTTTAGATCAGTCAAGGAGCGAATTAGCTCCTCATTAATTAGATCAATACTTCTGCAATCAGCAACAATTGATTGAATTCGGTCAACTATTCTTCCGATCGGCTAAACGAAGAGGGTGGTAATTATTGAGAGCATTGCAAAACTTACTGTTATAAAAGGTGCTGAATTTAAACGCATGCATAACTCTTGATAGAGAGGAGGTACAATTGGGGTACTAGAAAAGTTTGTTATCAAAACAAAGTATTACTTATAATACCTTAAGTAGGGGGCGTGAAGACATTGAGAAATGTTCATTACAGCAGAAGAAGCCAAGTTGATTGCCTTGCCGTCGTTATGACTCCAGATATCTTTAATTAGATAAGATAGACGATTTGATGAAGTTAAAGCGGTGTCATAACTCTCAAGAGTTTTTAGTTTTGAAGAGGTAACGCTTTTTCTCAACCCCTCAAGATAGGAATTGAGAGACTTTAACCTGTTCTTCTTTTCCGTCTAAATCGCAAATATGAAAAGTAACATAGCTTACATAGAGCCGTTCAAAGTCTGCCGAAAATTCAGCAGATTCCCGCATATGTCTTTTCAAAGTGTTGAGATGTTCAACTTGAGACTGAAGAGATTTCAAACAATTTTCGAGATAACTCCGCTTTGCAACTAGCCCAAGAACTTTAGCCTCAGATTCAACTGAGGAAGAATCGACTTTATCCTAGAAAATGATAATGGAAGGATAGACTCACCAAAAGTTCATCCCTCGTCCGTTTTAAGTCTTGACAATGATTAATAAGTTTTACGGAATTAGAATAAGAAATAACGTGCTCAAAGCGCATTTTCTGAAACAATAAATTAAAAGCCGGCTTTCTTACATCAATTAACCCTTCCTCGGTATCTTCTGAGTTATGAAAAGAAACAGAAAGGGACTCTGCATTTTCGACAAAAAGTTTTGAATCGATCACAGAATTTAGAGTTCTTGATAAATTGTTGCCAGAATACTTGTTTAAAGCATCATTAAGGCGAACAGAAGTGCTAAAACGCCATTAAATTATTAATAAACATTACATCGGTGATTGAGTAACTGTGGTAGAGTATTTATAAAAAATTTGGAATATTTTTTTTGCCTAAAGATTGTTAGCAAAACTGCTTGCTTACATCTTCCTCAACAACAAGCCCTGCGCAAGTATTTGTCCTTTTGTTCTGTTGGTTCAAAATCGAGCGGTTTAAAATGTCTACATTTTCTGTTAACGAGGCTAATATCCGCTCCAATTCCAATTTCAATCTTTCTGTTTCCGAAGCTTTAATTTGAGAGAGCATATCACTTACAAAATATAATATTTAAGCTTTCTCAACAAAACAAATCGACTACCAAGCCCCGTATTTGGCGCAATAGAATTTCATATGTAATTTTGCGAAGCAAAACAATTAAATCTGTTTGTCAAAGTATTATAAATTAATTATTAATAATTATTTATAAAAGTGAAAAATATTTTGCAATTAATTTTGAAGTTTTTGCTCATAGTCTTTGTTTATAAAATTGTATACTGCAGTTTTAGATTTATATTAATGCTTGTGGAATTATTAAAATCTATACCTTAATCTTTTGCAATTTATTGTAATCAGCATTTTCATAACATTATTTCTTTTTGAGGTCACTTCAGCTCGTTGAAGGCTTTATTTTATCAAGTTTGCATAGGATTTAACAAGTCCTGTTAATGTTATGCTTGTTCCTCCTGATTTCGTGGTGACTGTCCCAGATTATGATATCAAAGATTGTGATTTCGTTGCCTACTTTGTTCAAGTAAAGGTAAATTAATTCATATTATCGTTGCTTTGTCATTAATTTTACGTAGAAAATATGTCGCACTCGTAAATTCTAAATTTAAAACTTAGGCTCTTTATTATGATTATATTTTTAGGCTCTCACCGATAAAGCTCAGGTTTTATCTAGAGGCTTAAAGTCATGGTGTGTTTCTCGTCGGTTTTCTGAGTTTTACAGGCTTTATGAAATGCTAGAAAAGGAAATTCCTGCTTGCCTTATTCCTCCACTTCCTCCTAAACACGGTGGTTCTAGCAGCGGTTGGTACAAGTTCGCTTCAGCTATTGGTGCTCACTCAGTTGGTAGTCAAATTCCACTTGATTCAATTCCAGGAGCTGTTGTTGGTAAGCGATTTGACTCGGAACTTATCGATTCACGAAGACATTCTCTGGAGATCTTTCTTAACCGATGTCTCTCGCATCCACGTATCAGCCAATCCCATATTCTTCTATCTTTCCTGCGAGAAAGTGAAGATTGGATTACGTTTCCACTAGAGCTAGTGAGTTTTCTATTTTATATTTCATTAATTGCTCCTTCTTATTTTATTGTTGTGTTAATGATTTAACCTAAGGGTAGGTGCATGCATAGTTAACATTTATTGGGAATGCTTGTAAAATTGCCTGATTTACGTCTGGAGAAATGTTTTCTATTAAAATCTCGTCACTGGTTATTAAATCAGAGTTTTTTATTTTGCATATTTTCATTCGACTTGTGAATCTAGGTTTTATTGTTAGCATTTCATTGCTTTATTTGTCTGGATGCACTTTTGTTTGGCATCTGCAAGCCTCCAACCTTTTTGTAAATCTTTCCCTATTTAAAATATTCTTCCACTGTCTCTGCCCCCTTCCTTTCTTGTTTTTCGTAAAGTTGCGTAAAACAATAGATTTAACATATTTCTTCCCTAATCTAGCAATTTCTGAACCAGAGCAGATCTTATGGTTACTAGTATTGCAAACTGTCCCACCTTTCGATCGTATGCTGACCTGCCAAATTGACTGGTTATATGGATTAGTTGAAAATTCAACTTTCTATCTGGAAAAAAGATGAATAGTTTCACAGATTTCTCCTTCATCACATAAAATAAATCCGAAAATTGCATTATATTTCCCCCATTTGCTATCCTAGTTTCCTCTCTATTTACAGGACAACGCGACTTTTAACAGCGAAGATGGTAACATGGCAACTGGCGAACTTGTTGAATCACTTATATCAACGAAATTATCAGCGTCCATGGTGCAGAAATCCCAATCTATGTTGGATTCTGTGAAGCATTTTTTTGCTTTACAAAAGCAAATCAACAAACGACTGGACAATCTCAATCAAATCAATAAACAAGCGGCTGATGCTCTTCATCGATGGTGTCCACATGAGATTCAGAACCATCCGTTTGCGGATTCCCTTCAGGTTCGTTTTCGATCTATTATTTTGTTAACCTTAACAACTAATTCAAAAATCCTCTAAAAGCAAAGTTAGTAGCTTTGCTCTATCTTACCATCCATCTTGTTACCACTATTTGGCAGTATTAGCCTGTACACTACCATTTGGTGTTGAATGTCAAACCCTATATAACTACCTAGGCTACGAGCTCAAACCAGAAATTCTGAAAGAAACAAGTCTCCTTACCCTTTAACTTTCTTCTTTTTACTGTTGTATTTATTATAATTTTCCTCAAAGCGTATGCCAATCCCTTGTCATGTGAGGTAAATCTATGTGACAACTAGTGTTCCCTTTAGGGGTTCTTAAGCTTAGTCCTCCATTTACGGATCATTCAATATCGACAATTATTTCACCAACTGCAAGACCCCTTCCAAACATTTCAGTGTCCTAGTTACGGGGAGTGTATTTCATATGCACTAACAAAGTAAATATGCAATTATCCTTTGATTACGTTATTAAAACTTGAGCAATTCATTTTACAAGGAAACGCTATATTACTCGCTCTAAAAATATGATCCATTTGATAGAAAATACGAATTTCCTATTTCCATTTGGATGGGCTTGGAAATTTAATTCCTTTACATTCTCATGCATTTCATACTGGCAGTATCAGTTCTATCGTTTTGTACAAAATTAAGAATGTGAAAAGACGTGATCTAATGCCGGAAGTAACTGAAAATAGGCAATCGGAACACCGTTTTATGTATCAGCCGGTCTCCTTCTGTTATATTGCAGCGAGTAGTTTATCCAAGAAAATTAAACAGCCGTTTAACTTGTGTTAATTTAGGTAGGCGTCATTTAGATGTTTGTTTAGGAAGTGTCAATTATTGATCTTTTCTTTGTTTCGGCCTTATTCTCTGATTTCTGTGTTATTTTGAGTTTAGAAAGACGCATTTTATCCATTAAAATGTCTCCCTATGGGTCAGTATTTAACTTGTTAAGTTGCTGCTTTAATTAACGAGTGTTCAAGAGTTCCACATTTCTGGTCATGCAAATATGCACTGGTAATGTGGCTTCCTGTGTTAAGGTTTGCAGGGTTAGAATTTGCAGTTTCGCTATTCATAAATAGTTGATCTTGTTCATCGTATTCCTCTGAGGTCTGGCACCAACGAAACAGCATCTTCGCTATTGGTTTTCTATTAAGTATTTACCTTGTTTTCTTGCAGCGAAACTTCTTTCGATCTACCAAGCATAACTATACCGACTTAACTGAAATCATGCACACAAAGGCAAATATTTTAATGACCGTTTTGACATAAATAGTTGGTATAACAGAATCGATTTTCGTTCCTCGAACAGTGGGCATCGGCCTTAAGAAAGTTCTTGCAACAGCGGAAAATTGTGAGGTATCAACTCCTATTATCACAATGAACACTAACGACATTATATTCTCAAATAGTGAAACTATTGGTCATACTAAAGGCGTAGTTGACTAAACTATTTTTGTCAGAATATTCCCAAGACTGCCATTAAGTGCAATCAAAATCCATCTTCGTGGCACTTTTACTAATTTGTGTATTCTGTTATTTCTGGATCATTTTAAACAGTGCCTAAATGTTGTGGGAAATGCCAGCAATTATATTTTAAAATGTACTTAATAGCGTTTTTTATAATGGACATCCTAAAATTTATAACTTTAGACTTATGCACCCACTTACCCGAGTGAGATAATAGTGTAATAAATTTAAATCTGCTGGCTGTTCTTACTTATTACCACACATCGAGTTTTATGTAGGCACCTTCGCTGCTTCCTTCTATTCAAAGTAGGGGCCATAGGGGGTTCTAGATATTACTGTTCTGCCCTAATCGAGTGGTGACTTTCTGTTTGGAAATGTATTTACACTATATCGGATTCCTTTGATATCTCGATACATTGTGCTCGATGGAATGTATATATCGGGCGGATTTTCTCTTTGATTTAAAACCCAACTATTTTAGTTGGGTAAATTTAACCTCTAACATTTTCGAATCGAATTCTACAATATCTCTTATTTCAGACCCTGGCAAATAGTCTAGACAGCTATCATAGCCTATTGGGTCTTATGGGCGAAGGGGATGCCGAGGTAGAAGAACGTCTTCATAGTCATATGCGCTATGCTGACGCTTTCGCTGACTTCTGTGCACAGGAGGCCGCGATCCATCGGGAAATAGCTGCTGAACGCGCCGCCCTACTTCAACTTCAGAATGATGTTCAGGCTCTTCAGGTCAGCGGGTATTTTATATTGCAATGCGTATGGTTGTTGAATTAACTGAAAACAAAATTTTGCAACCCACGAGAAATAACTGTTTGATTTTAAGTCTTTCTGGACATTGGGGATTTATGAATAAGATTGTCAAAGTAGGTTGCTTTAAACGGTGCATCACTTAAGTATGTTTTGTTTAACGATGTTGCTGCTGCTAATACAGTTTCTAGGCTGCCAATCCACTTAGAAGAAAGAGGGTTTATGGTTCAAACGGCAATTCCTCTTCCCTTTATTATAAAGTTAAAATCATTTATTCATGGCTTAAATGTAGGCTATCGATTATTAATTTGGATATCCAATAATATATTAGTAAGGCTCAAATAATCCGCTTTCAAGGGTAATGAAAGATTTGTCATCATCTACAACTCAGTCTGCTATGCCAATATTTATTATTGAATATAAAGTAAATATTTCCTAAGACAAAAAGATTGTCATATTAAAATTTTAGGTAATTTCTTGCCATGGGATAATGTCCTCAACAACAGCACTGAATGTTCCGTTCTTGAACAATAAGAATTTGAAGTATCCATGTTTTTATTGCAATCTTTATGATAAGTAGTTCCAATTTTTCTTTTTCATGAAACTAATATTTCAAGTAATCGCTTACCTGTTGTAGCTCCTTCCAGAGTGAATATCACAAGTTGGGTGTGGATTTGTAGTAAAATTGAAACAGCCGGTCAACTCGACGTAATGTCCAAACCGCTCTGAACATCACGGGCGTAATATACTACTTGACGAGAGTGGACTTCAGAAGTAGCTATCTTTTCTACTCGCTTCCAACTTATTTTGCATTAAAATTGCTTAATTTTCTCTTGAGCTTGAGATTTCTTTAAAAGTTATGTCAATCAACCAATAAATTACTTAAAGTCCCTCGAGCAAATTGGTATGATCTAAGTAGCTGCTTTTCTTGAAAACAAAATCGTGCGGTTTCATTAATATGTGTAATGTGAAAATAAATAACACTTTAATGGGGTTTCATTAAGTGTGCCTTCTTACTCCTACTCCTGATATTATTGCTTTTATAGAAATGTTGATAAGTGCTTTTTTGCTTATTCAAATTATTGAAATCTCGTAATTTTTTGTTAAATCGACAGAATGGAACGCGACCAGAATTTATTCCAAGCGTAGTTGGACCAGTGTCCAGCATGACTAACAATGTGATCAATGGACTGAAATCCCTTTTCCTCAACAGCGATACCTCAACTTCTACCTCGGAGAGCGTTAGTCCCGAAGAGATTGAAAAGGCCATGGAGCGTATCATCAAAAAGATCAAGGACACTTCAATCCGCTTGGTTGAATTGGAGGTATGTGTTTGGTCCTGATTAACGTATCATATCATAATTTTATATGGTTAAAATTGGAGTTGGTTCGATTTACTTGACTAGTAAAGAGGTTGGATTGAATACCAGTTGTTGTAAAAGTGCTTCCTTTAAATAACTAGAATTCCTAAATCCCAATCTCAGAGGCACTAACTTTACACCCTTAATGTACAAGGAGCGGTTAAGCTAGTTTACTCTCTATGTTTGCAAAGGAGGGGGAAGAGGTGTTTTATGCAACTTTTACAAATAACTCATTAACGTAAGTGAGGTATTCTACCACATTTTCTGTGACCAACAATTTCATTGAAGACCATCTCAATGCACTTGTCTTTCACCTCATAGGAGGTCAAATCGGAATTCAAGAAGTCCATGGCCGCAGAATATGCCTTCTTTGAAAAGCAACAGGTTGAAGATCTTGTGGCAACAATGCGGATCTATGCAGGATTGCAACTCCAAAGAGCTGATCGATGCAAGAGGTTGTGGGAACGAGCGCATGCTGCCATATTGAATGCCACAGAAACTCCTCAATTATCTACGTTTTCTAACGAAGATACCGAACTCCAAAATGCTGCAATATCACCACAATCTACTTCTATAAGCGAGAAAAAATCCCGACCTGCAACTTTACCCTAAAGTGTGAATTCTGTGCCTTATTTTTTCGAGTTGTTTGCAGTCACCTTCTCTCTTTACTGTGATCACTGTGTAACCTTCCTTTTGTTTATTTTAAAACATATAATGCGAGTATTCGTAAAAATCTGAGAGCATTGGTGGAGTTAAATTTCAAATCGAATATATACGTTCAAGTTAAGAAAAGATTTATTTATTTCAAATGGCAGGCTTTATTGTATTTATCATTAGCCCTTAAAATATGACTTCAGCTTCCCCCAAGGGAGAAGGGGAGGGGGGTACATTTATAGCAGTTAATTAATAGCAGTTCATTAGCTGTTTTCTTGCTTCCCAGTATCTCTGGCTTTCCGTCGTTGTCTTTAGGGTTGGACACCGAATCAGGTGGGTCTTATCCATTTCCTCCTGAAGGTTACATAGATGGCATGTGGGTTGGGCGTATACTCCCAATCTGTGAAGGTGTTTTGCCAAGCAATCGTGTCCGGTACGTAGTCTAAACTCAGCAACGGCTTCGATTCTTGGCCAGTCGGCTATATCGGAGAGTGCCACTGTCCACTGTTTCTCCTTTGTTCGAGCTTTGAGTTCGTTGTACCTTGAGGACTTGAATTCTCTCCTGGTTAAGGTCTTCATTGTGTGGAAAGACATCGGCCGGTCCATACATTGCACAATCGTTGTCCCCTTCTTAGCAAGTGTGTCAGCAAGCTCATTGCCTTTAATGCCACAGTGACCATGAATCCATTGTAGGACCACTGTTTTGTTTTTCTCTCTCAGCAGCTGATACAGTTTTCTACATTCCTTTATCTCAGCTGCTTTGGTGAATTTCGTATCCAGGCAACATAATTGTCATGGTGCTATCCTAATGGCCTCTATTTCTCCTTCAAAAGCGGATCTATTGTGTCCCACTGCTGCGTAGAAAGAGAAGAGTTCAGAATAGACATCTGCACTGGCGTTTGCTTGATTTTCTATGTAATAACCATCAGTGAAGACTTGGAGCCATTGATCTGCAGGATAGTTGACATTGATTGTCTCAAGGGCTAGTGAGCGCATTTGTTCTGGAGGGGTGTTTGTTTTCCTGAAGTAGTCAAGCAGTTTGGTGCAACACACTACATCAGTGTCTGCTAATGGGTTCATGGGGAGAGAGAGGCTTTTTGGTTTGTCATCGATTTGTAATTCTTTCTTCAGTTCTATGGCTTTCTGTATTAGACCAGATTGCGTTTTCAGATGTCTTGGTCAGCTTATGGCAGCTCCCTGTGGAANTTTTTTAGTACTGGTATAACTATGGCAATTTTCCATTGGTTAGGTGCGAAATTGGTCTTCCAGATTTTGTTGAAAAGCGTCAGCATGGTTTCCTTGGATTTTGGTCCCATTCTAATTAGAAATTCTGGATGAATACCGTCTTCGCCAGGAGACTTTTTGCTCTTTAGCTGTTTAATCGCAGCATAAGTTCGCATGGTTTGAATGGTTCAGTAAGTACATTATTTGATGTTGCGTCTTCCTTAATTTCACCAAACTGTCTTACTTGTATCTTTAAATCTCTTGAAGATTTTCTGACAAAAAGTTTTCTTTTGCTTGTGGGAATAGAACCTCACAAAGCAGTTAGCTATTTCGTAGTCGGTGATAAGCAGATTGTTTTTAAACGTATTGGTTCTTTCTTGGGTCTTTCTCTGTTGTTTTGCAGGTTACCCAGGAATTTGAAGGTGCGTTGGCTATCACTTTGATAGTTGATATTTGAGATGAAGTTGTCGAAGGAAGTCCGTTTAGCTTGTAAGATGGCTTGCCTTAGGACAGCTGATTGTCGTCTCCAGGCTTGTACGTCTTCCGTTCTCCCAGTCTGATCAGCAGAGTTACGAAGGGTGTCCCGCTTTCTTTTCTGTTCCTCAAGGTGTTTAGACCAAAACACTCGATAGTGTTTAGTCTTGCCTCGGGAAATAGTTTTCTTTGCACATCTGATCATAATGTTCATGATATCATAGCAAAGTTTGTCAGGGTGTTGGTTGAAGTTGAGGGGACTTGTGTGAAGTTCATTGTCTAAAAGGTTTGTGAATCTAGGCCAGTCAGCCTTCTTGCAGTTCCATGATAGCTTAGTTGGCACTTTTATTGTCATGCTTTTTGCTGCCGATGGCAATACTAGCAATGACTGGTTTGTGACCGGCGTGTATGCTCGCTGGTGTCGCTTGAAGCCAGGAACAAGTCTGGAGTTGTTCTGGTTCCATTGTAGTGTAAGTATGTAGCCGGATCCTCATTGCTGTAAATAAGTTCCAGAGGGTTACTGTTTAACATGTCTTCAATTTCCTTTCCAGCTATGTTTGTACCCTTGTAGCCCCATCTGGTGAAATGGGCGATGAAGTCTCCTTATACTATAGTTTTGTGTGAGTTGTTCAGAAAGTCAAAGTTGGGACAATTTTGGGGTGGTTTATAGACTGCATCTATCTTGAAGTGGTTTTGATATTTCCAAACATTTAATCTGATTCTTTCGCATATGTCTTGCATCGAGCCCATACTCTTAATTAGATCGTAATGTGATGTAAGGCCTTCTTTTACTCCAGTCAGAATTTCACTTGCAACTTGCCGGTATTTAGGCAGAAGGTACAGGTGTACAGGTCATCCGAAAGGTTTGTTTCCATAATTGTGAAAATGTCTACATCATAGGTTTGTAGGATTTTCTGGACTTGGATCTTTTTGTCCTGCGACAGGTTTGCTTCCATAATTGTGAAAATGTCTACATCAAAGTTTAGGGATTTTCTGTACTTGGATCTTTTTGTCCGGCGACATTCCTGATTCCATAATTGTGAAAATGTCTACATCATAGGTTTGTAGCCTTTTCTGTACTTGGATCTTTTTGTCCGGAGACATTCCCCTCTGTACGTCCACTTACTTGGATCTTTTTGTCCTGTGACATTTTTAGGATTTTCTGTACTTGGATCTTTTTGTCCGGAGACATTCCCGTCCACTGACACTGCTGGACTTGGATCTTTTTGTCCTGCGACATCCCTCCAGCATTCCACTGGAGGATCTGTAGACGTGGTTCGCCCTGACGAGGGCGATTTCTCTTATAGCCTTGTTTCAAGCTAATCATAATAAATAGAAGTCAAATCAAATGCGAAAATGATAGACTTTTTTGCCGTACGAAGATACGTTGTCCAGGTGGCTAATCATAATAAATCGAAGTCAAAAACGAATGCCGAGTTTTTTTTGCCGTACGAAGATACGTTGTCCAAGGTGCACCACGCGGAGGTAAGTCTATCGTGCACCCCAATTAAGAAAGGATAATCTAATTTGAAATAGAGTTAAAGTTATAATCCCAAAGCTCCGACAATTAACGCCTCAGTATGTTGTCAAATCTCGAGGTCGGATCGGTTCAGATATATTCATGAGTATAGGCGTTACGGATCTCGAACAGATTTAAACGAAAATTTGATAATTAGTGAGTTAAATTTAAGCAATCAAATAAGAGATAAAGTGAGTCTGAAATTTGGTAAAAGATGACACGATATAATTTGATAGGTAATAATAGTATCTTTATTTGTTCTAATTAATTTAGATAACGAAACATGAGCCCACTAATAGACCCTCTAGATGTTACTCGAGTATATATGTAGGTAGACTAGGTGATATCAGCATCAGTGAAGACTCCCCGAAAGATTATCAAGGCCGTTTCAACAGAAAGATGTACAAATGCTGTTCCTTCAACATTATAATCATACCAATCTCATGATACTCTCTTTGCCCCGTTTAGACCAAATCACAGATAAACCCATTTCCATCCCCC